CCCCCCCCCCCCCCCCCGCCCACCCCCCCTCCCCCCAAAAAAAAAGAAAAACCGAAGGTTGCAAGTAGCACCCGGCCTCAGCTGTCAAGTTTGGAGCTCATCATGTTCGGATTCTTGAAGCCATATCACCTCAACCCTGAACCTCATCCCCTACACTCAACACCGAATTAACCCGATTATCCCCGCCTCAGAAGACGATGTAGGTCCAGGGTTCGAAATGCTAAGTCCGAAGCTCAAGAACCTCAAAAAGTCAAAGCTGAATCGGTAAACTGTTCAGTCCACGTCTCTAACTCATCCCGCGGGCTCCGGATCGCTCTTAAATCCTAAACCCGTAGAGGAGACACGCATCGGAGTCGAGGTGAAGAGCTGTCAGGACCTTTGGGGGTTTAGAACTTAGGGTTTAGGAGTTTAGGGGTTTAGGGTTTAGGGTTTAGAATTTAGTGTTCCGGATTTGGATTTTGCTCGCGAGTTTTCGGCTTAAACATTTAATGGCTGTGCTGGCACTAGCTAGCATTTCGGTATAAGTCTTGGGGTTGGCATGTAGGGATTGCGGATCTATTCCCAAGAGTCTGGGACTTGGGTATTATAGGGGCCTCAAAAATTACCTACATTATTCGGGGGTTCCTTATTATCACGACAGTATAAGGGATCCCCAAACCCTAGTCTAATGATTAAGGCCCCTATAGTAGGGTCAGCCTATTGCACCTAGCAGGTTGTGGGAGCTTGAAGCTTGTTGGTGGAAGGTTTTAGGGTTTAGGGTTTAAGGTTTAGGGTGGAGTGAGGGGTTGCCTGAGGTAATATGGGGTCCTTGATACTTAGAATAGGGTTCGGGGAATATTATACCACACTTATAATACGGAATCCCAAAGCCCTATTCCAGTTCTTAAGGCCCCTGCAGTATTGCAGTATTTTCGAGACCTGTCCTTCAGGTTATGGGGCTTGAGCTCGGTCCTAGGGCCTCGCTGGCGTAGCAGTGGCCGGGTTGATGGTTTTTGGGGGGTGTTGGGAGATTTTGAAGTCAGGGCTTGAAGAGGTGGCACTTCCAGGATATCTTCGGCTCTAGGTGATTTTTGGGGCTTCAGGGGTGCTCTTGAGATGTTTAGGCGAGGCATGGATATGCAGGGGGCCAAGAGTGCATTAGCTACATAGGGCCAGAGGGTGTGATTGAAGGCCCTCCAAAAAAAGCACGCTGGAACCGTTGTATCTGACACGTGTCGGTTCTTCAGCATGTGGGTGTGGGTGTGGGTCTAGCCCAGAAAGGCACCCTCAATCCGAAAACCGAAGCCCCATATTAACCTGCACCTCATCCCCTTCTCCGACCCTTCGCGTTTACGAGCCTCAATTAAGTAGGCGTCTTCCACAGCGCCTGACACTGCCTTGAACAGCTTCGTTTGTGGACAGCATGTACTGCGTACCTTGACAAAGCCGAACTGGCTGCATCTCATCGTGGCTGGAACCCAAGCGAACACGTGTTCTCGTAGAGTTAGCCACCCCAAGCCCCAGCAGGCGTATGTAAGCCCTTGCCTGTACATGTTCATGTTCCATGCACGATCCTCTGCCCTCTGTCCTGAACACAGAATCCGGATCCGAATTCCTTTACCCTGAGTCATGAACCCTAAACCCTAAACCCTGCTCCTTCGCACAAATCCCAGACTCAAGAGCTGTAGCAGGAGTGTGGAGCAGAAGAGAAGCAGCCAGGAGCTCAGAAGCCTCCGCGATTGTTCATTGGGTTTTGATTTTACACCATAAAAAATCTGAAGTGAGGCTGTCGGGTTTTCTGGGTATTGTGTAGAGCTGCTTGGTATATATATACATGGAAATAAATCATTAATATATATATATATATATATACACACACACATACATAAGCACTACCGTTGCGTAGGGACTATCAAGAGACCTACTAGTAGACTGGTGCTATTATTATCACGCCCGTGCTGTAGGTTTTGCGCATTCAAGGCTGACGATCCTAAGATTGTTAGGATGCCTCTACCTAAACTCCTGAAATCCGTCTGATTCAGAAAAGGTCGTTGTGGTGGTTCTGGTATGTAAGCGCTACACCATATACCCTGAACCCTGCACTGTAGTCCAGCGTTGGAATCCTCAAACTGTGAGGTATAAAAAGCTTGGCATAAACCCTTAGCCCTAAACCCTAAACCCTAAACCCTAAACCCTAAACCCTAAACCCTAAACCCTAAACCCTAAACCCTAAACCCTAAACCCTAAGCCTAACACATCAATCCCCTACACCCTACTCTAGCAAATCAGCTTTGGGATGGATGGAGTCAGCATTTGAAGCCGTTTCGGCTTCTTTGAGTCCCTCACGACGAGGCTATGTGAAGAGATCCTGGCAAAGCTCAAGGATCAGTCGAAAGAGTGGCTGGGCACGAAGAGTAATGAAGATGTCGGAACAACTGGTAACAAAATCCTTCCAGAACCACTGGATGACAATATGTTATTCTAGGACTGAGAATAGGCATGTCCAAGCTGGTTTTGTAAGTATACAGGGACCACGGGGGGAAACCAATTCTAATGATTCAGACACCTGCGGGGTTTAGGGGACACTAAACTCACAAAACTAAACCCTCAAGCTTAAATTATAATTTGTACCACCCAAAAAAGATATAAAGCCCTAAACCAAACCCTAAGGCTCAAATTCTTATTTCTACCCAAAAACATATAAAGCACTAAGCCACAAACCACTGACTACCGACACCTCGCGAGAATTGGCTCATCTTCCACGACGGCCTATTGAGGTCGGTGGTGTTGTTTTGGATAGGGTTTAGGGTTTAGGNNTTTTTTTTTTTTTTTTTTTTTTTATTCTGGAGCTTTTGCATGTGGGGTTTATAGGGTTTTGGGTTTCATGATTTGTCGGGCTTCAGGTTTTTGGGTTTGGGGGGTGACACGGTCTTGGGATTCTTGTTGGTGGGAAGAAACGAAATGATTTCATCAGTCATCTTATATTCGGATTGTCGCAAATAATTCATTTATGAATGTTTAATCTGTGATTGAAAAGACTGGCTGCAAACGGAGAAAGGGCAAGAAGAAGAGAGGATCACTGCGACGACGATTGCAAAAATGCTGACGCCGATGAGGAAGACGAAGAGCATCACGGTGAGGATGATGAGGACGATGATGATGATCATGTTGACGATGGTGAGGCTTGTGTTGTGTGTATCGGCCCCGTGTTAGTGGAATGAATGGACTGATTTCATCAGTCATGTGGCATATTGTTGGATTGCCGTAAATAACTCATTTATGAATTTCAATCTGTGATTGAATTTCCTTTCAAGGATTGACGACAAAGGGATGAACTAAATCGGTTCTCTTCGATGTCTGGCTTGGTTTCATAGGTCTCGATAGTGTTTTAGCTTACGCTTCGTAGTACGGAGCGGTCTCGTTCATGCCGCAAAATCCCTGAGCCCCAAAACCCAAATGCCCCAACCCTACATGCTAAACCTCGAGCCTAAGCTGTGAACGGAACCCCAAGCCCAAAGCCCTGAAGCCCTCAACCTGAAGCCCTCTGGTATGAAAGCCCTGTAGGTCCTCCCTGCATAGTCCCAGACCCGGCAAACCAATCCTAGATGGTACATCGTACACTATATAACATATAACATATCATATTTAATACTATATATATATATACACATATCTGTGTATATATATATATATTTATAATACAGAATGTAGAATATAGTAGAAGCAGGCTTAAGACCCAAAGCTCAAGCCCTTTGTTCCTTCAGCCTTGCAGTCTTGCTATTTAGAGAAGTCAGTTTAGGGGTTTGGGTTTAGAGTCCCCCATCCAAGCCCAGCGTATGCCGCCCCAAACCTAAAGATCTAAAACTCCAGATGTGCATTGTGGCGCTTGCCGCCTCCGGGACCCAAAAGCCCATCTCCAGAATACTCCGAGCGGTCAGCCAAGGCAGCGGCCTCTTTGGGAGGGTTAACTTCGTCCTTGAATGGTTTCCGGCACCTGTACCATCTGGGTGCCGGGTAGCAGCGAGTGCTTGAGCAGCGGTAGCGTAGTTAGGAGGGCAGGCGATGCAGATGGCCACGGGCACTTGCCAGGATGCTGTCAGTCAACAACTTTAAGGCTTAGTGCCCATGGCTCTGCCCTGCTGCAGAGACACATACTCACATACTGGCCGCCAGGGCTTCAGCCAAAAGGGCGTTGAAAAGGCGTTCGTGCTTGGGCACTCCATTGATTTTTGAGGGGCTTTCAGTGTTTGCAGTTTGAAAATTCCTTCCTGCGAAGGCTATCCTTGCCAGAAATGCACGAGTGACAGGAGGATAAATATGGGGCTTGCATCGGTATGAGGCCTGTGTATGCAAACTGTGTCCTTCGTCCCTAAGATGTTTCTGCACGTTCGAAACGTTGAAGAGGCAAGCAACCGCTTGGATATTGAGTTCGCAGAGGAACTGCAAGGTCAAGGTTTAGGACCAAGAACCCATCGGAAAATGACTCTGCTGAAAGAAGACTGGACTGCCAGCTGCCTGTGCAGTCGCGAAGTGCACGGCGGACATGACGCCCGACGGGCACGACCTGTCCGACACTGACTACCTGAAGAGGCTACCTGCAAAGATCCGGGCAAGCAGTACTGTTGTCTGAGCATCTTTGGTACGAATCAGCATGCCACCTCTTGTGCAGGTTCGGGACAGCAGTGGTCTTTCTTTTCTTGAATGATGCAGAGGCAGGTAGCAGCTGTCGTGTCAGGTTATTTGTGAAAACAATATTCCTTGAGGCGCGGCTGAGCTCGCAATGCCAGAGTCATAACACTGACACCCGACATGTATCGAACCGTCAAACTTCCCAACCCGCTCCATATCAACCTTCAAATGTAAGCCAAAGTGCCAGGTGCCTCGAAAGCACGCCGTGAAGTGCCGAACGCCAACGGCAAAAGTACAGCGTAATTGGCTGTCGCAAGAACCGTGTAGCAACGATAGTCACAACGATTGTGATGACGATGATGATGATGATCATTATTATGATGATGATCATGATGACGACGATGATATTGCTTGAAAAACCACGATGCGCACCAGCAATGCTCATGGTCGCTTTGGTGGTGGTTGTGAAGTACGGAAACCTAGTAGTAGGTACAGCAGCAGCAGCAGCAGCAGCAGCAGCAGCAGCAGCAGCAGCAGCAGCAGCAGCAGCAGTCGTTTCAGTAGGCGTTTCGATGTCGTCGTCGTAGCAGTGGAGTAGTACAGCAGTAGAGTCGTAGAGGAATAATAGAGTGGTAGAGTTGTTGTGCAGCAGAGTAGCAGAGTAGCAGCAGTAGTAGCAGCAGGAGTAGGAGTGGTGGTAGTAGTAGCAGCAGTAGTAGCAGTAGTAGCAGCAGTAGTAGTAGTAGTAGTAGTAGTAGTAGTAGTGGTAGTAGTAGTAGTAGCAGCAGCAGCAGCAGCAGCAACAGTAATAAGTATTGCTGGTATTATTGCTAGTACTGGCAGCATCAACAGTAGCAATGGGACTTTAGTAGCATTTGTAACACGGATATACTACTTGCACAGCTAGTGCTACTTGTTGCAGTCCTGTAGTAGAGGCCGCTGACCTGGTCTTTCCAAAGCTGCGCGTCCAGGCGGTGGTACCGGGATATCCTTTCCGAACTTTCGTTGCCCTTTATTTTGATTTGAAGGAGCTGCGTTGGGACGAGAAACCCAGCTGCAGAGTAAAGGGTGCAGAACATCCCTTAGACTCTGGACTTTAAACCATGCACGCTCGAGCCCTGCTGTCTGAAACCTAGGAGATTGTAGGGCTCACAATCGCCTGCAAATGTTGTGCTAGCTCCCTTTGAATCAACAACCCGATCTAGAATCTAGAGGGCAACTGAGATGGTTTCGGCGACTTCGGCGAGGTCTTCAACTGAATCTCTCACTGCTTTGCTGGATGTAGTGCGCTCTAAACTCTAGACGGGAGAGGAGGGCAGAAGCAATGTCTGAGGCGCTTAAGTAGCCTAACATGGCGACCCAAAGCGGGGGCATGCTCAAATCACGCTTTGAAAACCCATTGCATGCCTCCGCTTTCAGAAACCTTATCACCTTCGGAAACCTTATGAAGTGGAGAAACACAGCTACAAAATGATTCGTTTTTAGACCTGATCAAGCAACTCCCTTTTTTGAGAGCCCTCAAGAAATACCATTCAGCTTCCGGGTCTTGGGCATTCCCGGGCGTGGCGCTGCCAGGTTCGGTCTCGAGAGGGCTGTGCCGTGGTTTCACCGCCCTGTTTCTCGGGGTGTTATGACAACGATGGACACGTTACTCAGACTTAGATGCTTTGAATAAATGGTGAACGAGGTCGATCGGCAACTAAATTACAGCGGGGTGCTTAAGGACTGAAACACAGCTATGTTCAGCCGATGCTCAAACGAGCCCCCCCATGTCTTGCACGATACGGGAAATCAAGGTTAACTGGGGGATCGAAAAACGTGATACGGCGGTGCAATACTGCAGCGTGACCACTAGCCTAGTGACCAGATACGATTTGCGGTCCATCTATATCTGACTTAAATCCAGTTTGTACACCGCCATCCTTTGCTTGTTTCCATGTAGCTGTTGTTTTGGATGACCTACTGCACAGTCAAGACCCAACAGATGTAATGTAGGAACTGCAAACAGCGAAGTACATCAAAATGTCTGGATAGAGCCCAGTCGGATTTGCCAGTACGTTTTTGGGTCTGACGGCTTTTAATTAATACTTGCAGGTATTCAATATAGGAGCCTAAAGAATTGCCTATACTTTTTTTTTTGAGGGGGGTCCTCATCAATAATATATTTTATCACTACAGCACGGGGAGTCCTCATCAATAATATATTTTATCACTACAGCACCATATACCCCAAAACCCTGTTCTAATTATTAAGGCCCCGACATCAGGTGTTATCCCATGCAGGGCTTCAAGTCTGGTTTCAGGCTTGGGAGTTTCAGTTTGGTGCTTGGTGCCATCCGACTTTAGCAGCCCAAGCTTCTCGATGTGGGAGCTTCCGAAAATTTGAGGTCCCTTATTTCGGGGCCCTTATAATAAGGATCCTACAATTTAGGGTGCTATACTATATTAGGGTCCCCTCTTGTCGAAACCCCATGTGGCAGGTGTGGTCTACCACATCCGCCTCGACCGGGCTGCTAAGACATCAGGCAGGACCCTTGCTTAGCGCAGAGTGAGCGTGCTGCAATCCATAGGCCCTTCATATTGCACTCGTTGCACACCCGGAGCCAGATTCTGTGTTCGAGGTGTTGAGGCATCTACGTTTGGAATTCACGGTTTGGAATCTGTGACGATGGGCAGGGTAGACCCCCGCGGTTTTGCATAAGATGCTGCTTCCTTTGCAATGGTAGTGCGTGCGAGCATGGACTACTGTCCATAGTAAGCCCCCAATCCTCTTGAATGTCAGTCTGTCGTTCGACGTGTCGTTATCCGTCTGTCCGTGCTGTTACTAGCGCGAATTGCCGAGGGGCAAGCGTTTGGGTTTGGGTCCACGCCGAATCCGAAATCTTCGATGGCACCTGGACTGATCCGTGCATCAGGCTCAGCCGCCAAGGCTCGGGGTGAGGCCAGGTATGAGGGGAAAGATCACGTGAAATCCTTCAGAAAACTTGCGGGGTCTTCGCGATAAGATTTGCAGCGTCGTGCACCTTGAGGGCAACAGCACGGCGCCGCTGGACTGACAACAGTGCATCCATTCACAGTGCCGTAGGCCTTACGTGTGCATACATTGATGCGCGCAACTAGTTGGCCAGCACTCATGCTGCATGCGCACCAGGGGACATATGAAGACACGTAGATGCATAAGTTGCTGCATAAGCACACAGGTATGTGCAAACACATTCCCTGCATGTACACATGCAAGCATAGGCCAACACATCTGCTTCTTGACACACTCAGATAGGCAGGTGCATGGACGAATACCAGACAAGCATGCCCGTGGTTCGTGGATTTCTCTAGTTTTTCTTCGTGGGGGCTGATGCTTGTGGCGGCACCAGTTCGTCTGTCAGATCCGGCTACAAGTTGCACTTCGGCTTGCATCAGCCTTTACTTGCAGCTGCTGCTGGATGGTAGGGTCACCGATGCACCACAAGACGGCATCAGGTTTGCTGCCGTCGGCCATTTCAGAGCTGAGCCCGTGAGGGCCGCAGCTTAGGATCTACTCGAAGCCCCAAGGCCGTAGCCTAAAACCCTGAACTCATTTGGTTTAGGGTTTAGGGTTTAAGGGAGGTTGAGGGTTTAATTAAAGCCGTAATTTTCCTGACATCCCATCCCTACTATACCTCTAGGCCCTAGGCTCCACCGCCATATCCGATAAGCTAGGTCCCAAAATCCGGATTCCCAGATGCCGAGAATTCTGGAGCCAGAGCCGGCAAAGGCAAATCCCTGAACTGAGTTCTGAACCCTGAGCCCTAAACCACCCTAAGCCCCAAACCCCCAATTCCTAGGCCCTTAACTCTAAACTCTAAGCCCGACAGCACCCTAAGCCCTAAACCCCCAAGCCCCGTAACCGATCCCTTACTACAAAGGATACATAGCAAGGCCCTGATGCCTTATAGTAGCCTTGAAGTCAGAGAAGGACTCGGGAAGCCCAGACGCCCTGGGAGGGTTTAGCCAAAGAGACGCTCGCGGCTGCTGATTCAAAAGGGCTGTTCTTCTTATACTGTAGCTAGTGTGTCTTTGTCGGGCTGTGCGTAGCTGAAGAGGTCTTGAGGCTCTGTGAACCGATGTGATATGGTCTGCGGCTGTAGAAGATCATTTTTCGAGATGCTCAGGCTCTTGCACGCGGTCTCGGGTTGGAGGGGCAAGTGTGCGGTTTCAGGTTTCCATCTCAAGCTTCGAGATGAAAACTGTTCGGCAAAGGTTCTGGGAATAGGCCGAATAGGCGTGAGCCACAGCGGCTCAGGGCTTCTGAGTTGCGCGATCTTCCCCAGATGTCATCTCTGAATCTTTACATATTCCCTAAACCCTAAACCCTAAACCCTAAACCATAATCTTCACCTCTGGCCTGCAAAAACGCCGTGAGACCGAAGCTTCCAGGATCGGACCCGGTCAGCTCGATGGCTCGGAGCCCACGGTAGGTGGCAAGGCAAAGCAGGAAGCTCAAGACAGCGCACACGGGGGCCCAACATTCAATGATATACAATATAATCTAATATAATATTTAATATATACAGTTTAGTCTAATATAGTATATAATATATATATATATAATATAATCTAATATATATATATATAGTATATAAAAGTTTGAAGCCCTAGAGTCCCAAGCCCTCACCTTCTACAAAACCCTGCAACCTCAGCTCATCGCACAAGTTCAGTCTGTTTAGGGTTTTAGGGTTTTAGGGTGTAGGGTTCAGGGTTTCGGGTTTAGGGTTTAGGGTTTAGGGTTTAGGGTCTGAATTACTTGAGCCTTAGGTCCTAGCATGGCTGTAGCAAGTCTACCATAAGAACCCAAAACCCACTGTTTAGTAGGTTCCTATTATAAACCCTAATATGGGAGCTATAGGGACCCTACAAAAAAGTAGGTTTTGGGTTCTTAAGGTAGGTCCTACGGTAGAATTCAATCCGTGCTTCCATACACCGGATGTACTGCTCGCAGCGCAGCGATGCGGTGTTGAAGGGCAGAAATCGGAACTGCAGCCAGCATTCCTAGCAGCCGCCCGGCAGGCAATTTGACTATCGTGCGCTGGGCTGGTGGGGGGAGCCCGCGTCTGCTTTGGAGTACCCCTTAATTGAGGAATATACCCTAAATTATAGGGGCCTTTCTTTTATGATGTACGGTATATTCCTTAATTAAAGGGTATTGGGTTCTCTGGGCAGTGCCATCAGCCAGTACTTTGAAGAGAACCCAAGTGTTAGGAAACCGCCACATGCTGAGCGAGAGATAATCAGCGAGCACAGCAGGAGCCCTAAACCCTGCACCAGAAGGTTCTGTCATGTTCTATAATGGTATATTATACCATAGCCGCAATAAGGAACTCTGACGAATAATGTTCCTAGTTGTTCCGGCCTCTATGTTGGCGCAGTCCTTTGAGTGGTGAGGCACAGGTCCCCCTAAAGAGTTTGCGGACGGAGGCTACCAAACTCCGCGACCCCAGCCTCTTAGAGCCAAACAGCGCAAATCTATAAACACCAAGACCGCTAATCCCAATCAGGGTGATGCAGTGTGAGCATGGCCACGGAGGGAGCTGCAGAGGAGGCCGGCAAGCTGTGTTGTACGGCTCATATCCACTGTGTTTTTTTTCATCGTTCCTGTCCTGTTCCGCATGGCGACTAGTATGATCCGCCTTCGCCGCTGCAGCGACACGAGTAGCGCCGCTACTACTGGTCTTGGGATCTGCTGCGTTTGCAGCAGAAGAAGCAGTACTAGGAGGAAGCAGCACCAGCATCAGCAGCGGGCGCGGCAGCGGTATCGGCCACAGACGGCTTGTTGCATGATCGACATCTCTCGACGCAAAGTGTTGTTGACTTTTCCTCAACTCTGGTCCCCGATGCCGCATCCTTGGAGCAGGAGGAGACTGCTGATGTAACGCCAGGGACCAGGCTGATCTGTCCTGCACACCGGTCAGGGAGAGGTTCGGATTCGTGGTTTCGTGCGATGTGGGGTCTCGGGGTTTAATGTAGGGGCCTTTATAATTAGAATAGGGTCTTGGAAATTCCTTATTCTAAGTATGGTATAACATACCCCAAACCCTATTCTCATTGTTAAGGCCCCTATAGTAGGGTTCAGAGTCATGCGGCTTCGTGACTTGGCGGCTCGGAGCTCAGCGAAGGGTTCAGACTGTTGGTTTGATGGTTCTTGCAGGGATTGAAAGCCCGGACCCTAAAACCTCCCAACCCTCACTTCAGTTGGGTATCGCCATAGCAAGACTGGTACGAATAATCAAGAAAAGAATAATAACAATGGTAACGAACTAGCAATAATAGTGTCAATAGAAATAAATGTATCAACATTAATGGTATTCATATGAATACTAACATTTAAGTATAAGTATAAATATAGATATTACTATGAATCTTCGTACTAATAACAGAATTCCACATTGTGTGAGGCTTTGAAGGTTCTTCTTAGCTTCTTCTGGCCCATGCCACTCGTGAGCAAAGCAGGCGCCGAGAGAGTGCTGTGGCCTTTCAGCTGCCAGAGGAGCGTCGGGCCGGCTTTTTGGTTTCAGGGCTTAGGGTTTTTTAGGGTTGTGCAGCTTCATGGTTTGGTTTTTTTTAGGGGGGGCTGTGCAGTTTCATGGTTCTAGGGTTTAGGGGGTTTTGAGGGTTGTATAGTTCTATGGTTTTAGGGTTGAGGTTTTTTTTGGGTTGTACAGTTTTATGGTTTTAGGGTTTAGGGGTCTTTTGAGGTTGTATAGTTTTATGCTTTTAGGGTTTAGGGTTTTTTTGGGTTGCATAGCTTTATGGTTTTAGGGTTTTTTCAGGGCTGTACAGCTTTATGGTTTTATGGTGGTTTAGGGCTATATAGTTTTATTGTTTTATGGTTGTCTAGGCTTGTATAGTTGCATGGTTTTAGGGTTTTTTAGGGTGGTATAGTTTTATGCTTATATATATATATATATGGTCTTTTGGGGTTATATAGTTTTGTGGTTTTAGGGTTTAGCGTTTAGGTCAGCTTTTATGGTTTGTTTTGGGATGAGGGTGCCTAGAAGTTCGCAGAGGGCTTAGGGTCTTGCCAAGATAATTATGATGACGATTTCGGAGACAGTAAGCAAGCGCAATCCGGATGTTGCAACCGAATAGCCCTACGGGTAAGTGCGCAACGATTTGAAGAGGAAGCGCCTATGCAATACCGATGAAGATCACCACCGCCCGAAGCGCTATTACCTTACCGGATCGGTCCAGCGTCACCGATGTTTAACATTGCCATGTTGAGTCCTTTAGATGCTCGTTAGTGGCAAGGTAGTAGGGTTCATGGAGTTCCGAGTTTAATGTTGGGGCCCTGGGAGTCAGGCTTGTTGGTAAACTCTAGACGCTCGTTCCCGGAACCATAATAATTATAATCATTGGCCTTCTCATTAAACTAGTTTTGAGATTGTTTCCGCACACTCAATACAAAACAACACAACATGTTGTAGAGGTAACGCGAGCTCTGTATCCCAACTAACACTAACTAGCATCTCAATGTGGTTCAACCTCGAAATCGAACGCAATGATAAACATCGATGACGCTGGACCGGTCCTTGAAGGCGATATCCGGGTATCGCCGCTGCTTGAGATACCAGCACGAAAGTGCCAATGCGGGCTTCATACGACATCCCGTATAGTGGACAATCGGATTCGAAGGCTGCCGGGTAGGGTGTAGGATTCAGGGCTGCTTCCTTTGTGATTATGGTTCGTTCGGAGATCACGGTTTGGGGGTTAGTAGATGGGCTTGTCTGATAGACCTTTTGCGGTAGATTTCGGTCTTGGGCTCAGGGGGCTAGGTTTTAGTTTTTCGCGCTGCTATTGTGCAGGTGTGTTTGAGGTCTGGGGTTAAGGACGAAAAGCAGGGTCTAGCGCGGAGGGGGCATTTTGGGCCTGGGGTAGCGGTAGCAGCCAGACGAAAACGAGGAACCAGCTGTGCGGGTGCAGACAGTTCCAGACTCCGGCAGGCGCACGTGCTGTCGTCGTGGTTTAGGGTTTAGGGTTTGGGGTCTAGGGTTTCGAGATTTCATGTCCAGGTTTAGCTTTGACATCTCTGCGCGTGTAGCAGTGTCCCGGGCACAAGGAGCCCTCAATCCGACCTACCCTAAATGCTGAAACATTGGTACCGGCAAGAGGCAGTCGGGAGCCACCTCTGTTCGGGCCTGTACACATTATGTATTCTGGCTACACACTCGCTTGGTGTATTTTGTCTGTATGCATCCGTCTACTGTACTGATTCATGTTGTCTACGCCTGTTCATTCGTTATTTTTCTGGCAAACACATCTCGTCGCTGTAAACAGTGAAAACACCCAGGCATGAGTTAGTGTGGTAGAAGTATGCTGGCCTTCGACACAATATAGCATGCCACACAGCATGCTCGAATGTCCTACCTCTTATCACGAGAGAGAGATATGGCAGATTGACGGTGCCGCACGCATCAGGGCTCAAAATAACAATGCCAATTCATGTCAGCATAACGAAAGACACCAATAGCGCACCTTTCATCAGTTGTGCATCGTTGCATGAAGGAGAATGCGACATGCAGCCTGCAACCTGCATCTGGATACAGTTAAATAGTCACCCCGGCCCTAATTCACCCCCCCCCCTCCGCACCCACACAGACACACGAACTCTCTCCTCTCTCTCTCTCTCTTCTCTCTCTGTGTCTCTCTCTGTCTCTGTCTCTGCCTTTCCATCTCTCTCTGTCTCTCTCTCTTTCTCTCGCTCTCTCTCCCTCACTCCCTCTCTGTCTCTCTCTGTCTGTCTGTCT